CGTGTCTGACTGAACAGTCACTCCCTAATATATTACCTAATTACTTAAAGATTCAAAGATTTATTATGGGAATAACCTACAAGCTCATGCTTTTGTGGTCCCATAGGTTCGTGCGGTGGAGTAAGAAACAGTGATGCATACAATTCTTTGTGTAAAATGTCACGTGATACGTGCGTTTTCCTCTGCTTCACGCAGCTTCACTCGTGTTGGAACGTAAGATGTGCTAGTGTTTCATCGAGCCTCAGTTTGAAAGACTCAATGCTTGGAGCACAGACGACGTAGGATGGTAGAGAGTTCCAGATCGAACACACTGTGACTCATAATACGCCTGAGATCGCCAGTGAAGTTCCTATTCATATGTGTTTATCTGTGTTCTAAAACACAGCACACTGTCATAATCTNAATCTACACTGTTAATGTGAAAAGAATAAAGAAAGGCAGCTTCAAAGGAAATTATCTTTGAAGGTCTTGATAACTGCGTTATTTTACATCCTGTCCGAAGTTGTTGAGGTTGTGAATCTGAGTGTTTCAAACCGCTAAAGCGTTTTCATTTGAGATGTACGTTCATGCAATGGTCGGAACAAGCACTCTACATGCGTTCCGTAGTTGATATACCAATAGTAAGAAATCCATTGCAAAAGGATTGCATGTTGAATATTTCCGAGGAATAGTTCTTCAAGTACATCATAATCCGATGTAATGAATAGAATTTGCACATTTTGATACAGAAGGGTGATACAACTATTGATGCGCACGTCTGTGGTACTTCATGCGATGCCTGTTGATTGACATGAACTTCCGTCTTAGCTGAAGATGTCGCAGCTGTTCCTTTCCGTCTTTTATTTTATATGGTACCACTGTTATTAATTTAAAAATTGATGAAAATGTGGACTGTCTGTGAGGATACCTCGCCCAGTATTACCTCTTCTAGGTTTTGACGTTCGTGCAGTCTATAGCACCGGCTCAAGGGCTCTCAAGTTCAAGGTGTATTTCGTTGAATATAATTAAAATGAATTTCTTTGATTTTGTACTCTCCCGTTTTAAGTTTCATGTGGAACTTCCGATTCCGTTTTTTCAGTCTCTTGTGCGCCACTCACTAGGAATATATATTTTGAAGACTTGATACAGACTAGCTTAGAAATAGCGTGCACGGTAACGAAGGTGCATAATGTTACAATAAAAGGCGGTAAACGTGGTTATACGTTTTTAAGGTGACATTTAGGCAGAAACGTTTCTAAGGGCTGAAGTTGTGGTTCGTTTAATGTTCTCTTCTAAACCGCTAATCTCATTTCATACGTTGAACCAGTGGTTGATGGTATCCGAGACCCTCGCGACAATCAGTACGGTAATGGCGGAAAATAAACCGATCGACGGCGAATGCCACGCCTATAACTGAGACAAATCACTCGGTCAATCGGCTTGAATCATTCCGTGCCTAAACTATCATCGAATGTAGTTCCTCGTCGGAGATCTGTTCCCCTCCGAAATATATTCTTTTCAGATTGACGGTATCCTCCTTCCTCATTACTTTTTCTGTTAAGTTCAGTTCAGTCAGTTTGTAAGATTCTAAACCAGTTTTATCGATTACGCGGTTTTCGAGACACTTCCTGAAATATTTGTGTTGTGATAGATACACAAGTTGCTTCCTCTTCGACGTGACTGACAATTTGCATTTTTGCACATTCTTAGGAATTCCTGAGAATAAGACACCTTAATTATTTTCCATGTTGTTATATATTGGCACAAATATGTACATAAAATATATGTGGAAGTGTAGCGCCTTCGTTTTCGTTGTTGTACACTCTCGCAGCTCCTTTTTATGGCACGGTTATCGTTATTCAGACTACAGTTTCATTTTTTGTCTTTATTGCAGAATAGGAAATTACGGGTTTACAGTAAACATGTTTCTGCCAAACATTCTGAATGTCGACCCAGTGCACGTCTATCAGTTGCATTGGTCAGTCTAACACCATCTCGCATAACTGTATGGCCACTCGTTTGACTATGAATATAGCAGTAGAAGCAGCAGCAGAGGTAAAGTGACTTGTAATATTTGTGTATCCAGTGAAGAATCTGCTTCAACTACCTCTCCCCGTTTTTCCTCACACTCCCTGGCCCCCAAGTCTGACACACGCACACTCACATCGGACTAATCATAACGAAAGAGTTTGTCAGTATTGGTCCGGTGCATTTTGTGGCCCAGAATGAAACACACCAAGCACACACACAAACACGTACAGTCAATGATATAATCTAACTGCACACACCAGGATCTAGCAGGGTAGAAGAAAGAACTTATGTCAGTGTGGTTAGGAAAAGCGGAACAAACTAATGCAGTATGTGATTGTGTGTTGCTTATCAACTGCGGCGAACGATGTCTGCCACTGGGATCACATGCAGTGACTCGCTCGCTGGCGGGTGCGGCCACAACTATATATACAAACGCACGAAATTATCTTCTACTTCTTCTGGACAGTAAGTTTAGCAGTGCTGACACAAGGCAGCAAAAGAATAATCACCCAGTTTGTCTACATGGTTGCAACAACCGGCAAATAGGAAAGAAACCGGAGAGCAAAAAGTCAAAACTAGAGGATATTTTCTCTTGTTTTTTGCGCTGTTTATCTCAAACCAATCACACGTGCTTTTTCACATTTCTACCTCCCAAAAGAAATGGTACGTTTCGTATGTGACTTTGGGTTCATGTGTGTATGAGTGTATGTGTGTGTGGGTGTGTGCGCGCATGTTTATTGGTATTCGCTTTATGCGAGCATTTTTTGTATTGTTTCATTCATGTGGTGTGTGTTTGTGTTTCGGTATTTGTTAGTAGTACAATATGTGGAGCTGTTTTCAAGTGACACTTGGAAGTTGGCAAGATGGCGCGGGTACGGTTTTGTTATCTCAGATGGAGGGCAGCAGAGAGAGAGCGATGAAGTAGGGAGCGCAGGACAAGGTGGGCATATTTAACTCTGTTAGGAATACATGCGTTCGTTTTTTTCTTTGAATCGGTGGGTAAATGAGTGAATGAGAGCAGAGAGACAAAGATGATAAATGCATGCGTGAGTTGTGTACGAATTATTGAGGGGATCTGACGCAATGCGAGGCATGCAGCCGCAGAGAGAACAGAGCGAGAGATTTGTGTTACACTGCCGTTCGGAGGCTGATCAAAAAGAACAAATTGTAGAAGATTTTTTAAGTGTGACACTTCTTCTGATTGAGATGCAAAATATTATCATTATCGGATGTGAAGTTTGCCAACAGTGGTTGTATACTAAATAAGTCGAAGGGGATGGATTGGCCTGTTTGCTCACACGGCGCTCAAAGAAAATTAACGGAAAGGTTTATCAGCACGAACAAAAAGAAGAAGAGAGAACTGGTGGAAAGTTGAGGCCCCGGACTGGACCGAGGAGGGTGGGGGTGGCGGAGGGTTCAGGGTGGATATGA